TTTTGATCAGCCATTGTCACGTAGCTCCACCCGTTACATTACATAAGTCTGCTGACACACACATGCATGCAGACTGCAGAGTACAGGCGTGCACTAATGCCTTTACAATTAGATAATCTTACATTGTAAGAGGAAGCGAACAGTGAGCGTGAGCAGCAAAACGTTGGCTGATCGCTTATAAAAGAGGCCTTTGTGTTATTGTGCACGTGTGCTTCATATTATTGTGGTTGGATAAAAGAATCTAACAGATTTGCTGTAAAAGGAGGCGGTGGTTTGTTCCGTTTCAGATGTCAATATTGTCATTTGTTCGTCTAGAGTTTTTTATTTAACTGTACACATGATTGAATGATGGAGAGGGGTGGAGAGAATTAGACTGAGAGTGTTTTGCAGACTTATGCATTTGTGTAACTCAATCTGTGTGTGTGTGTGTGTGTGTGTGTGTGCGCGCATCTATCTATCTATCTATCTATCTATCTATCTATCTATCTATCTATCTATCTATCTATCTATCTATCTATCTATCTATCTATCTATCTATCTATCTATCTATCTATCTATCTATCTATCTATCTATCTATCTATCTATCTATCTATCAGTCTGTGTGTGTGTGTGTATATATATGTATGTATGTATGTATATATGTATGTATATATGTATGTATGTATATATATATGAGCAATATCACACTCGGAGCAGTGCAATATGGCTGTGTATCGGCACTGGTGGCAGGCGTGCGTTGGCACGAGGCTGCAGACCGAATGCCTCAGTGCCCCAACCAGTGCAGATATACAGCCATATCGCACTGCTACGAGTGTGATATTACGTTTATACAACAGTTTGACGGCATAATTGTGTATATAAAAACAAAATCAAACATGGAGAGTGTCAAAAACCCTTTTGAGGAACTACTTTCTTCCGGATTCAAATCATAAGCTGTAGGGGTGTCACGATTTCGATTTTTAATCGAAATCGATCGAAATTTATGCTCAACTTCGATTATCGAATCAAAAAATAGAATCGTCGATGCTGCCACGCCCCCATGTCACGTCAGCTTGGCTTGCCAAGCGGGAAAAAACAGGCTTGTTGAAGTGCTTGTTAAACTGCAGAAGCAGGAGACCCGTCGACAGAACTTAAACCCTCTCCTCTTTCAATGAAGTCGCCGGTGTGGAAGTATTTTGGATTTCCAGTTAGTTATGTTGACAACGTTCGTGTTGTCGACAAAAAAAAAAAAACACAGTTTGCAAGCTCTGCTATGTACGTATTACGGTTGGAATGATAGACGATAGGCGCATCGCGATCCTCCGCCCCGCACCCGTTGCAAATCCGCTCGCAAAAAATACACACTCAGGCCCTGTTTACACTAATATGTCTTTGTAAATGGCATTTTAGAACAACAATGATCCACATCCACACTGGCGTGTAGCATTTCTGAGGAGCCCCCCGTCCTCACTACCGCTGAAAACGCACATCACGTGATCACACACACTCATTCACACACAGATACAGACGCACACGCATTGTCATGCGCTCGAGACAGCGGGTCCAGGCAGTCAGCGGGTCAGTAGACTGCTTCCATCTTTTACTTTCACACACTTACTTAGTCATTTTAGCGAACACCTCAGATACTGTTGGCTGGTTTTTGTTGGTTGTGCACCTTTTTTACCGATGTCATTATAATGACACAGATCACTGCCTATTCACGAGTCCCGCAGAAAAAAGTGATTGACAGGTGGTAATTATGTGTGTAACTTACCTTTATTCATTTACTGTATGATTTGTTTATGGGTAAAACAAAGACCATGCAAGTCAGGTAGTTTAAATGGTAGGCTACAAATAATTAATTAGTTATTAATTAATTAATTATTCATATTTGAATATCAAATCGAATAGTGACTTTAGAATCGAAAATGTAATCGAATCGAGGATTTGGAGGATCGTGACACCCTTAATAAGCTGACAGTTAAACACTTGAGCAAGCATCTTTTAAACTTTAGGTCTGTAGTGTCTGCTTTTTCCTGGCTGTATGTGGGCGGAATAATACACAAAGGGTAAAGAGGCTGTGGGAGTTCTGGTATTGCAGAATATCACACGGCTATCAGCCAATCAGAGAACCAGACAGAACTGTTGTATAAATATGTATATAATAAATAATATTTGTATGTTTACAGTTATTCGTTTGTAACCATCTAGAAGTATGTGTGTATGTGTGTCTCTCTCCTTTGCTGTTGTTTTCTGAGCGGTTTCCAAGGCACCTCCATGTGTCTGCTAAGTGTTTTTAGCATGTTGTGCGTTGCTAGAGAACTGCAGAATCATTGCATTTGGACACAAGCTTCCGCCAAGTGCATAAATGTAATGTAAAATGCATCACGCATGCTTCGAGTACTCAGTCTTGCCTGTGCAGGATAATGTAAGCTTGGAGTAGTTGGGTGAACTATCCCTTTAAAACCTTTTAAACCAGTTGATTGTGAGTATTATAGTTTAGGAAATGTACATTTTTGGTTTAAAATCTCTTTTGTTTTTTTTCCGTATTGCTTGTATGACTGATGTTTGTGTGGCAAACAAGTAGTGATGACTACATTAGCAGGACGTCTGAACATAATAAGAAAAAAACATGGATTGGAACCATATTGCAGCCTCACCCATGAAAATGACATCACCTCATCACGTCGTCTCCTCCTATGTTTTGTATCTGGGTTTTTCTTGCTCTCTGTTGATGAAAAAAGTTTCTTCCCATCTCACACTTTCCATCTGTCTGGCCATAAATGATTCAGGCGAAAGCAGGCATCAGCAGCAGCTATTTCAATTCAGTCTAGGACTCAAGATAGAGCAGCAGGAAGGAGGGCAAAGTTTACCTAATTTAACTTTGGAATGAAGTGAGAGATTAATGTGCGGTCAGCCATGGCTATAAACTATGTAAATGACCAGCTATAAACTACAGTATGTAGGCATAAACACCATATAAATGCACTGACTTTAACTAGCTTGTCTAGCACTGATGACAGTAGATGATCAGTTAGAAGATATTATTAATCATTCATTCATTTTCTATCGGCTTAGTCTATATTTCACTGCAGAATGAGCTGCCAACTATTCCAGTTTTACGCAGCGGATGCCCTTCCAGCTGCAACCCTGCACTGGGGAACACAGTAGTATCAGTAGTAGTAAATGTTCTTGTAGTAGTATCAGTAGTAGTTGTCTTAGTAGTAGTCATTGCTGTAGTAGTAGTATCAGTAGTAGTAGTCATTGTTGTAGTAGTAGACGTTGTTGTAGTAGTAGTATCAGATGTAGTAGTCGTTGCTGTAGTAGTCGTATTAGTAGTAGTAGACATTGTAGTAGTAGTCATTGTTGTAGTAGTAGTATTGGATGTTGTAGTAGTACTAGTAGTTGTTGTAGTAGTAGACATTGTTGTAGTAGTATAAGAAGTAGTAAATGTTTTTGTAGTAGTATCATTAGTAGTAGTAGTTGTCATAGTAGTAGTCATTGTTGTAGTAGTAGTATCAGTAGTAGTTGTCTTAGTAGTAGTCATTGTTGTAGTAGTAGTATCAGTAGTAGTAGTCATTGTAGTAGTATCAGTATTACCTGTAGTAGTTGT